AAGCTTTGTAGATATAAATGAACTCTATCAACCATAGTTGTTGTGGTATGAACTCCCAATATCCATCACATAGATCAAAGTTTGATTGTCCCAATGGCTTTCTTTTGCAAGTTTGTAATGCTCCAAAAATAATCTCCCTTAGCAAGTAATGGTACTGCTAGTGGATTTATATTTCTCCCCTGATCATCTTTGTAGCTCAATCCCTTGCATATGAAGTTCCTCCAGTACCTTTGAAACTCCATCGTCTCCTCGGGAATCACAAAGTCAACCTTCAGTAATAAAGTAATTTCCAAACAATTGTGAGATTGGGAAGCCTCTTCCACAAGTTGTTGTTTAATAGACATCTTTTCATAGATCAAGTTTTCAAAATCCTGCAAGACAGAAATAACAAAACTAGGGAGGGAATTGTTAGTGCTCACTAAAGCTATCTCGACTCCACTCTCATTTTTAAGCAAACTCAGTTCTGACTTATCTTTTCCCTGTGAAGGCTCACTTTATTTTCCCTTTTGTAGCTCCTCTTCATTTTTTGCCACCTCTCAACTCTCATTTTCACTCTTTATTTCTTTTTCGCTCTTTTGTGGCTCTACTCCTTTTTCATCACACATAGCCGCCTCAATATTTTCTCTCAAGCTCACCATTTCATCATTTTCGTTCTTACTCTCATTTTCTCTCAATCCCTTCTCTCTCTCACTTCTCACTTTGAGTTGATCCACATACACCTGTTGTGGGGTCAAGCCAACCAGGGTGATTTTCTCCCCGTCCTGAAGAAACCTATACCAATTTCTCTCCACAACATACACAGCCTTCCGTTCACGTCTTCAAGGTCTCCTAAGCAAAATATGAAAGAATGGCACTACATCACACCAAATCTCATCAATATATCTCCTACTTGCAATATTCAACAGAACCTGCTTGTTCACACATACATTCCCAAATGTTGAGGTGGAATCGAATGTTGCCATTTACTACATCACCAAAGGTGGCGGACCTTGGCTTATCCAGATGATACTCAGACATATTGCAGATATCGTTTCCTTTGGCAGAGATATGGGTTCCCACATCTTTAGAGAGGGGAACCAAGTTACAGATGCACTTGTTACTGATGGTTGGCTTCATCGTAGATATCAGGAATATGGACCTGCCGACCTACCACGACATATCAGGGCGCTTGTTCAGATTGACGGATATAGCTTGCCCAGCATTAGAGTTTAAGTATTTGTTCTTTGCTCTTACTTTTATTTTTTTTACACTCGCTTTTTTTCTTGTAAAGGAGTAGTAGTCCTTTTTGCTGCTATTATTATTTTTTAATTTCAATGTAAGGGAATTAGTCATTTCTCATTTATTTATGTTATTGATTTCATTTGTAACCACGATATTCCTCCGCCATAAGTGATGACACATTAATAAAACCTCGAAGGTACCATCCTTCCACAAAGAAAAAAAAAAAGGCATAGGGTGTTGTCATAAAGGTAACCCCAATTTCTCCACCATTGTGATACTAGCCAAATTGGATATGTGTTCCTTATCAATTGCAAGACTACATACCTTGCTACCCACATAACACCGAGTTTGAAAAATAT